AGGGGCTCACATGTTTATGCAATCTTTCTATTGACTGTGTTCCAGTTGAGGTAAGTCTCCCTTGAGTGAAGAATAGATTTGGTGTTGCGGTTTCTTGTAATAATTAAAATATGCTGCAATAGCTGTCGCACTAATGGTGCAGTGGAGGGAGTGGGGGAAGGTAAGCCTGGCCTGGCACAGCGCAAACAAAGATTTGAAAGAGTGATTTGTCGCATCATTTCGATTACAGCTGGGAAAACTGAATGCAAGCCCACTCAAGGTCGCGCCAGCGAATTCTAGATCCCAAGTCTCCTGCCTTTGGGGCCACGGCTGTTCTGCCTAAAGCATGCTTCAAAACCTGCCGAATAGCGTCAAGACGGCCAGACGGGGAGACAGTGCCATCCATCTTGAAAATCATTCTGGCTTCTGCCAGCTGATGAAGGAAATAAAGTCAATGACGCCCACATAAATGTGATGCTGTCGCAGGATGCGCGCACAGACTGCCTGGAGGGGAGCTCTGTGGGGCCCTCAGATGACGGAAGGCTTAAATTGTACCTTTGAAAAGGGCAGGGTCTCCCCTCTTTTGCAAAGGCAGAGACTGGGGAATCTGCCACCTCTGTTTCCCCTGCAAAGTGCCTGACGTTCCACTGGGCACAAGAGCCCATGGTAAATAAGTAAGTGCCTGGTGAAGAAACGAAGGCAACGTCACCACTGAAGCAATGCACCCTCAATCTTTGCGGTGATGGCCCCTGTCTTAGAGAAAGAGACTGGAAGAAACTGAAAGGTGTCTCATTCAGTAGTTTTGAGTTCACGGGCGAGAAAACTGAGTCCCTGGAGGGGAAGAGACTTGTCAAGGTCAAGATGCAGGCAGGGAGCAGCGTGGGGCTCTCAAATCATAGTCCAACTGCTCTTCCCACTGCACTGCATGGTTGCAACCTCTTTCATAAAGAGCTCTCCGAAAACCCCTGTATATGCCTTTCTAGGTCATTACTGGATTTACAACTATGCAGAAGTTATCTGCCTACTTAGAACCTCCCCCTCTAGCTCAGGGTCCTGGTCCAGGCTGTCCCTTGGGAACAGGACCATGATGTTTTCTTTCGCTCATCTTTCCTAAACCCAGAAAGTGCATAGATGGGTTGTTGTCTTGATTTAAAAATATATATATTGGGGCCTCATACAATTCTTATCACAATCCATACATCCATCCATTGTGTCAAGCACATATGTGTTGTCTTGATTTTGAAGCCAAACTTACCCAGTGGGGTTTCTGTCCTTAGGAGAATGCCTTCCCCGCAACCTACGCCCCACCCCCGCTCATTTCTGATGCCCCCAGTCACTTTCCACAGTCCCTCAGCTGCAGTGAGTAAGACTGGGGGCAGGTGGGAAAGACCAGTGTGGCTACTTGCCTCTCTTGCCAAGCTTGGAGACTGGGAAGCTCATGGCACCCTTAAGGGGAGGCTGATTTCACTTTCAAAGGGGCAGTTTTTCAGGATTGCAATGTGCAACAATATATTGGCAACGTCCCTTTGGAGCCTAGTGTGAACAGCAACATCTTCCCTCCAAGGTCTTGGTGACCATTTTTAGAAAGTGCGTGCCATATTCAAAACCCTGGGTAAAGCACCCTATATTGGGGAGAGGGGAGGGAAGCGGTGTCCCAAGAAAGGCCAAGCATCTTGGTGGTAAACCACTCATGGATTGGACCAGGCTTGTCTCCTCTGCCCTATTCCACTTTGCTGGCACACGCTCTGTCCCTCTTTGCTTAGCCGGAGGGTTTTCCATGGGTATTTACAAAAGGACATTAGACTTCTCTCCTAAGTATAATTAGTACTTCTGAGAAGTTGATGAAAAATGTGGCTGTTTTATTCTGCTGATTCTCAACCAAATGCAGTTATGCCTCCCAGAGATATTTGGCAATGTCTGGAGATGTTTTTGGTAATTCATGATTTGAGGGGTGGGCAGAATGTAGGGCTGTTCCTACACATCCTACAAGACACAGGACAGGTCCCCTGGACCAGAAAGAATTATCCTGAACAAGATGTCACTCATGCTGAGGTTGGGAAATATTTCTATATACCGTAGGCTTGTGTGAGTTACTCAAAAAGGTAAGGGGAAGTGGGGGCTTTACTGGGCCTTTCCCAGGCACAAACTTCCGTAAAGGTCTTGTGAAATCAAAGCCAAATTCTTTTTGGCTTGAAAAGAGGTTTCAAAGGGATGTGCTTCTGTCTCACAAAATGTATCTTTGCTTATTATTTTTGACCAGCCTGGATATAAAGTCCCAGCCGCAATTGAAAAGACAGAGACAAAATTTAGGTTATTGAATTCTAGAATGTTGCTCATAGAATTTTAGAACCACAGTCTTCTAACGTCCGCCAAATCACCTCATTTCACTTATAGACAGAGCGGATCAGCACTGCAGTGCTGTCTGTCTCCCCGGACCCCACATCACTCCTCCCCTCAGCTCTCTTTTAGGCCCCAGTTTGTTCTCTGTGTCAGTACCTTAAGAGGTGTCTGCCTCACTCAATTGGATGGCTGTTTTGCTGTCATTATTGCCATTTCTCTGGTGATGTGCTGATGCAGCATCCCTTCTGTTCTTGAGAGCCTATTCTTTCCTAGCCCCCAGCCTTCCCCAACAAGGTGAGCAGCTGGCATCATTTAATCTAAGCAGTACCTGGGTGCCTGAGATGATAGGCTTGGCTCATTCCAACATGGTGCCTGTCCCCGGGATGAAAAAGCGTTATTCACATGGAACCTGCCATGGAGCTACCAATCTCCGTTCTCCCCTACATGTATTCTAACGTAACCCTGGATGTTTATACTTTCGTATTTCAACCTTAAATTTTACCAATGAGAAGGGTGATACATGAAAATACCAACTGAACAAAGACAACCTACTCAGTGGACCTCCTTCCTTGGGACCTGTCAATTTCACTCATCTCAAAAATTGCTGCAGATATTCCCAGATTCAATTCCTATTCTTGTTATTTCATGCTTACTCCTCAAACAAAGTAGCCATTCCTACATTTTGGCAGTGGGATGGTACCATCACCTTTCCAGCTCTGCATGGCCATGACTCTTGTTTAAAGACAGGGAATTATACCTCACATGCCCTGTAACTCATGTATGCCTTAACACGTGTAGAGGAAGGAGGTGTTGAGTGGTGCTTCCTGATAGATCACCATCACTTTACTTAAAGAATTAACACTGTAGATTCAGAATCTTAGCAAAATGATTATAGTGCAAATCGTTAAACTGTGCCTTCCTTTTCTGAAAAGTAATGTCTGGGAGAGGAAAATGAAGCATTGCAAACTGTTCAGGAAGAAAACAAAGTGGTGTGTGTGTGTGTGTGTGTGTGTGTGTGTTGATGTGCTAGGTCCTATTAATTTGGTCTTTAATCTGCCGGTTCAGTTCTGTCCCTGGTAAACCAAACAGAAAATAAAAAATCTTATCAAGTATCTCACCTCCACAAGATTTTGCTGTTCTACTACATAAGTCAAGGGATAAAGAATCTGATCTTAAGTTAAGAGTACACTCCCTTCCCTCCACAAAGTGACTACCTTTTGCCAAGTCCTGATGTGCTGTACTTTTTCATTCTTACTCCCTGGCTATTTGCCTTCTGAGCTGTAGACATGACTGTGGCCTATCAAAATAATTATTTGAACTGAGATTAGAACCTTTAGCATTGAATGTCTCAGCAAAGTGAGGGGTCTTTTCTTCATGCCCATAAAAAGGAATGAGGACAGGCTCACATATGCAACTTTGTAATTGGGGTAGGTTGTCATTCATGTAACAAACCAACTAATGGATTAGTTAAATGAACAATTAATTCATAGGCAGAGTTTGGTATAATGTACTGTTGTAATAATTATTTGTTGGCATATGATGGGGAGGACAGCATAAGATCACTTCTTTAAAACATGTGCACCTGAAGTGGGGTATTCAATCGACAGTTAATCCAATGACATGGTAAAACATGCGAGGCAGGCATCTAAAATGAAGAAGATTAATGATCCCTGCAGGTCACAGAAGAAGAATAATTTTTTTCAATTCATGTAAATAAGATTTATCATAACGGTCTCTGAAGATGGCATGATGCAGTCATTTACAAAAGGGCTATCTATTTCAATGCTTCTTGAAGAGGTGATTTTTCACTTTTCTTTGCTTGTGCTAGCATGTGAACGGGCAAGCCTGTAGGCAGAGAATGTTAACCTGTGAGACAATGGATGGGGAAACCCAGCTAACCACATCCGGGATAGACATACATTAAAAAACAAAGCCAGCCAGACTTGCCCATCAAGTTTAGGATCTGCAGTTGTTGGGTTAGCAAAGTAGTTTGGAAAGGAGAGTGGGGAGAGGACAAGTCCAAGTTTCAAAAGGGAAATGTTTCCCCCAAATCTGTTCATAAATGGATTTACTCTGCACCCCAATTCAGAGCTTTACAAAGTGATGTCACAACACGATTCTTTCCCAAGCTCTACGCTTCATCGCGCTCCCTTGCTCCCACCCGCAGAAAAGGAAACAACAATCATTTTCTAAAAGGGAGAAAATGAAATGTTCTGTGTCCAGTGAGTTCGAGTGCAACCTTCTCCGTCTCCGCTAGTTGTCGCTTGGCTCCCAGACGGGAGAGCTGAGGTTTTCGGCACTGCGGTTAGAGAGAATGCAGTCCTAATTAAACTGAGTAACTCCTAAAGCTTCCCCTTAAAGTCCTCAGCCGAGTGTGACTCAATATTCGTACTGGGGGAGCGGGGGTCAGTGATGGGGGTGCAGCAGGCAGAAGAACAAATAAACAGCAAGAAACAAGCAAACAGCTGCCAGGGCAGCGACTGTCTCAGACCTCCACGCACAAGCCAGACACCCTGCGGGCGGGGTGGGGGGTGGGGAGGGGAGCGGGGGATGGAAGGACCCGTACGCAGCAGTATACAGCACCTCCGCCCCCCAAATGAGGGGACCACGGTCAGAGTCAGCCTCCGGGCTCCTTCCCCCAATTTCCATCCGAGCGAGGTGGTCAGTAGAAAATTGCATACCTGAAGAATACAATGGTCTCCCAAAGGTACAGTCGAAGAGTATTGAAGCTGTACATTTTTCAGGTCCTTGTGCTTTGTAGTCCACGAGTTACGGGGGCAAAAAGGTTTCAAATTGGCACTTACAGAATCAGCGAGCGCAATTGAAAAAACAAAATAATCCAGATGTTATGGGGAGGTGAGGAACGGAGGCGTCGGAGGAAGAGCCCCGAAGGAAATTGGAGCAAAGGGGCTTCTAGGTGCCACGAAGCGTGTCAGCACCACGGAGAGCGCCCGGCCCTGCTTTTCAGGAGCGCCCGGAGTATTGCTGTTGGTTAAACTCCAGCGTGTCTGTTGGCTCCCTGCGGCGCTGGGAGGCACGTTTGGGGGTGGGTATATTTTCTTTTTTTACCCTTGTTTTTCCTGTTTAAACGGCCAGCTCCGTGCAAGAGGGAAAACAAAGAAAGAAAAGGAAAAATCGGCAGAGATCAGAGCTCTGGCATCAGACCGTTAGATTGGGCAAGCATCTTGGGTAGAGAGAGCAAAGCTTTCCGCCCCAGGACTGGCCTGAGGGGGTAGCGGAGAGGGGAAAGTGATTGACGGCGTTCCTTTCAGTTAAATCCCGGGGAGTGTGCCAGGCTGGCGCATCGCAATCGAGTCCCAGAATCTCGCTCCCTTTGCTCTGTGTTGGTCTGCTGTTGCCTTGCGATCTCTGTTCTCTGGTCCCCGCCGAATAAGTTATGATCGCTGCAGGGAAGGTGTCCCATCGCTCGGGGCTGCAGGCATGAGAAAGCTCACGGCAAGTTTCAGGGGCTTCCTGGATGCATGGCGACCCCGCGGGGTTTAGGAAGCGAAGGCTTCATTCAGATGCATCTCAGTTTTCTGAGCTCGCCCATCTTCCTCTGGCCAGGACTCCTTCAGATCTTCAGACTTTCTTACTGCATTAATTTAACAAACCGGCGGCTGGCGGGTGGGGGTGGCTGGGGAGGCGACGGCCGGTGGGAGGGGGCGGAGAGAGAGAAAAAAAGGGGGGAAAACTCCTTAATATCTTCAAACCCTCCCACTCGCAGTGCTCATTGGCCCGGGGCTGCGAAAACCTGATCTTCTCCCGGTGTTGGGCCAATCGCGTGATAGATTGTGTCGAGTTTAACTCTTAGAGTGCTGCGTGAGATCCAAAGCCCCTTCCTCTGCTTGTGGGCGGTGGGGTGGGCGGTTATGGAGTTAATTTCTCGAGCTCTCTCCAAATATTGCCTTGATTTTTAATGAATGTAGTTGTATGTGAATAAAGCACTGTGGGTCCCAGTTCAGAAATGCTTATTGGCGCAGTTTCTCATCTTGAAAGAGGAGAGTAGAATCACATCCGAGTTTCTTTTGAGCTCCCGATACCTGTACCTGTATTCGGTTATAATATTTTGTCCTGGAAGCACAGAAAGGTTTTAAAAAACAACAACAGCAAATTCATCAGTGATAGGAGAAAATTCGTGGACCAGATTCTAGGGTCAAGAGTAAACAGCCTTGGCTGCAACTCTTCAAGGAGATCAGGGAGATATGCCTCCTTTACCTGCTCAGGAGTTAAGGGTTTTCGCGTTTTATAAGCTGGACAAACAGCCTTAGAGAGCTGGCAATTTGTTCCAAATTCATGACAGAGCCAAGTTGTCTATGCAGGACCCACGGGTCCTTACCATTTATTTCACTCCCTGTTTTCCCTTCCCCCTTCCTCCCTCTGCTTTTCCAGTTTAGATGCATCTCAGAAACATCCGAGAACCTGTCTGACATTCCACCAGAGTCCAGCTGGGAAAGTGGAGTTAATCAGATTTCTTCCTAGCTAAAGGCCCTTAGTAGATTAGTAGCCTCTGCAGGATTTCCTGGTTGATTGGAATCCCGGCTGCTCTTCCTCCAAGGCTACTCTGAGAGGAAAGCCCTCTCTACTAATAGGTAGCTTTAAGAGCCCCTCCTTTTGAACGTTTGGTGTCTGGTATCCTCTCAACAGTTTTTTAACTGCTCCACTTTCTCCCAAGTAAGGAAGTCTGGAAAGCTTGTCTACCAGCTCCATTCCAGCAGGGATATCCCACACTACAATAGCTCACACTACAGTACTGCTTCTTTTGTTTGTTCCCAGATGTCTGACCAGTTGTGAGATGCTTAGAATTCCCAAAAGGTTTTAAAAGGAGTTTTACTTTGAAGGCCTGTGCGGGGCACAAACACAGAGATATTTACATATACATGTACTGCATATGTATAATTATGAACATACTTCTATGTGTCAGACACTATTGTGTAAATCATTAATCTCAATTAATTCTCACTGTCACAACTAAGGTAAATACTACTTTCAGCTTTGTGTTTGTGTACATGTATGTGTGTGCATTTGTGAGTATGCTTGAGCAAGGCTGGCATGTGTATTTTTGTGTATATACATTGATTTGTACCCCTCCTGATCCTGAAATTGATTTGAGGTGGGTAGATGTGTTTGAAGGAGCCCTGGTGGTATAGGGGGTTACACATTAGACTGAGCCACAAGATCATCGGTTTGAAACCACCAGCCATTCTTAAAAAAATATGAGGCTTTCTACTCCTGTAAAGAGTTAGTCTTGGAAACCCACAGAGGCAGTTCTACTTTGTCCTATAGGGTTGCTCTGAGTCATATTTGACTTGACGGCAGTCAAATTTGTGCATGTGTGTTTATAAATGCATCTCTGTTCATGTAGGCATATACATATATATCTGTGCATGGCATTGTTGTACCCCCTAGATGTACAACCATCTTTAAGCTGCCAACTTTGTCTTTGCTACTTCCCTGGCACAGGCAGGTGTGGATGCTGTGTATGTAGAAGTTCCTTTCTTTCTCTCTTTTTTTTTTTTAAATCATTTTATTAGGGGCTCATACAACTCTTACCACAATCCATACACACATCAATTGTGTAAAGCGCATTTGTACATCATTCTCAAAACATTTCCTCTCCACTTAAACCCCC